TATCCTCATTATGTTGAGCATGCTTCCTCAATTTTGGTAACCAACAAACCTTAATTTGGAGATGATACTCCCTCATGGTCAAGGGTAATGGAGTGATCAATGTGGGACTTTTTTTGGTGTCGATATTTTAGCATTAAGTAAAGGATCCTTCTGTTCCCTTGAGTTAGTTGCATGACTCAACAACAACGCCAATATTTCATTTGAACAAACAACACTAGCCCTCATTGCTTTAGTTTAAATGGATGTAGTTATTTGACTCTGATAATTTTGAATGGCCAGTCCGATATTAGAAAGAAATGTGTTGAGTGGCATAAGCTCAAACTTTTATAGTAACTCGTACTAGTGCAATTATTGAGAGAATTGCAAATGTCACAAAGAAAGATCATAAATTTTAAGTAGCAACATATTCTTGTTCTAAGAGCTTTGTCCAAATCCCTCCTTTTTTTTATTTGGTTAGAGGGTTGGGATATTTGTCATCAACAAGCATTGAAGCATTTGTTAGTAGAGATGCGATTTTCAAAATGATAGATGAGATCAACATAAGTATGGATTGTCTTCTGTGTTAGGGGAGGTAGAGGACCCCAAGATAGAGCCGTCCAAGGACCAATCCCTCTTTCAGTTATGCGTGGTTCATATTGAAATTCAATGCCCTCTTTGCATTTAGCGTAGTCGCCAATTTTGGTGGCTGCTGAATCTTAATTTGGAGATGATATACCCTCAAAAATCAAGGATAATGGAGTGATAGTTGTGAGGCTTTTTTATGTCAATTTTTTTATCATTGTGAGAAATACATATCTCAAAAGGTCCTCCTGTGATAGCCTAAATTTTGCCCACCACTAAACGATTTCCTTGTTGATGTTGCTTTTAATGCTTCCCTTAGGCTAGTTTGCTTTAACATAACATTCTAGTGATAGTGACTTGCATCTCTGGCTTGTAACCTCTTAGTTCCCTTGAATTAGTTGACTCTAATAAAAATAAAAAGTGTTGAGCGAAATGTACTCCAACTCCTACAATAGATCACATTGGTGTTGTTATTAAGAGAGTTACAAAAGCTGCAAAGAAATATCCTATTTTTTAATCAGTTAGAGTGCTGGGAACATTGCAAAAGCTGCAAAGAAAGGATTGCAATATTCTCGCTATGGTATTATCCCTCCTATTGATATTTCTCTTTTTTTAAACAGTTACAGCGTTGGGAGAATTAGTATCAACAAATAATGAAGCATTTGTTAGTAGAACTGTCGATTTCAAAATGATGGATGAGATCGGCTTAAGTATAGATTGTCCTCCATATTAGGGTAGGATAAAATGACCCCAAGGCAAAGTCATCCAAGAATGACCAGGTTTGTACCAGCTCAAAACCAACTAATGCAGTTTGAGAGACTCTTCTAGAATCTTTGGAAGTATTAGTTGTAATGCCCACCACATTTTCATGATTGAAAAACAAATGAGATGAGTCCTTGATGATTCTCCAATTTGTAATAAATTAATTAACAAAAAGCTTAACCAATTTACCAAAAAAGAAAAAAATTGATAGAATCACATGGGAGTAAGAATCATGTCTAATCATATATCTCAGTCTTAACAAAGAACACTAAGCACGATAGCCAATTGAAGATGCATTGGATATGCATGATAGTTCTTTAATGATCAATTTGTTCATGATGACAGTTGAATCATCATCGGGGCCATTAATAGGAAAATTTAAAACTGAAAGAATTGGATTTCATGGGAAAATGTTAAAGAATGGAGACAACCCCTGAAAATCCCTTGAGGATTTTATGGTTAAACTTAAATCAAACGGGAAATTCTTTTAGGACAAGATATTCCAACTCATCTCAAAATAAGCCACATGGTATATTTTTAGTCCTAAGTAGAGACAAACTTGTCGCTCCTTGAGGTTTGGGAATCGTCAAACCTGACAAAGTATAATGAATTGAACTAGCAATGTTAATAATCTCACTGATGAATGATAAAGAAAGAACTTTAGCTTGAATGAGATGATGCTCCTCATGTGATGTTGAGATAATGATTTATAATGTGATATTGAGAGGATGGTGAGATCTGGTAAGATTGTAATGTTATATCCCCAATTGGTGGGATACATAATCGTAAAGGTTTGAGTAGAAGCAATCTCAACAATCACATTCTTTTCCTTATGAAGAGGAGTTGATGCATGTCTATTGTACCCTTGGCTCACAAAGAGGTTCCTTCTGTGTGGCAAGGTTGAGCATGTTGCCCCAGCGTTTCTAGTGCAGCATCTATTTTCCATTAAAAGTGGTCTCCAAATAGGTGCTGATGCCTATATGGGAAGGACCCCCAATGTTCAATTGATTTATAGGATTGGAATGGTGTGCCAAAAATAATGCCAAATTGCAAAGTGTGATAGATCAAACTAATTAAGTGATGAATAGATCACACAAGCACAAGCAATTAAGTAAAATACATGGACAAAATTTTACATGAAAAAACCCAAAAGAAAAAGTTGCATGAGCCTTGCCTTACTAAAATAAATTCCACAAATTTAAAAGGGTTACTAAGAACATCTTACCTTGCAATTGGATAGGGCAAAAATGTAATATAAAGAACATCGGCATCATTTGTGTTGGCATTAGAAACAATACAAGATAGTGGTAGTGCACAAGAAATAGTTGCAGCACGCGTCTTCAGAGAGAAATGCAATGCAAGTTTTAATAGAGAATAATTGCAATGACGATTGCAAAATAGTGGCTCTTATAATGCAATCAAAACATGTGCCAACTCTTGATGCGGGAACTCTCACAAAAACAACCAAACGACCAAACAATGAGGCAACGCTTGTAGCATGTTATAATGTGACAACCCAGCACAACCGAAAGACATTGAGTAAGTTCTGATGCACCGACGGTGGTTCGTATTAATTATAAAGGGATCCAACCATCTCTTAGAGCTCAAGAGATCTCCTCATAAGACCAAAATGAATGGTTGGTATAGTTTTAAAAGTTATTTTGGGCTTTATTTGAACTATGCTTCATAATTATCAGCAATAAATAATATGACACCTTTCCATGATCAAAACTTGATTGGCAGAAGTTGCTGTAAGATGACTTCCAGTATGTTCCAATGGTGATGATCCATTAGATGCTACCACTGATAAAATCTTCAATTCGTTGTCAAAATAAACTAGATAATAGACCTCAGTGGTAAAAGCACATAGATGGAAACAAATCAAAACCTTAACTAATAGATTGGCTAAAATAACTCCTAGAAGATTTGTTACCTTCAATATGGGGAAGCAAAAAAGGCAACAATGTCTCATAATTCTAGATGAACATGTTTGTCTCTTTGAACAAATCATTTGGCATGATCTTTTAGCAAATGGAGGCATATAGAAGTTGCAACAACTACAAGAAGTCAAAATATTTATGTGCAATTTGCAGAAAAGCAAGCATGTACCAATGCAATGCTCTCAACCACGAAGCCTCAGGGTGGCCGATCATTCAGTCCCCCAAAACACTAGTAGCAGGGGCAGCCACAATCACCTTATCTTTGTCTGGACTTGCTAGTCTAAGGCCATTGAGCTTGTATAGTCAAAATTCGACTTTTCCTCGGCTTCTGAGCCTATTAGAGTTAATATATGGTCTCAAAATCTATGCTTTATGGAAAGAGATTTTACACTTCCAACTACAGTATATAAGAATGAAATTCATAACTGGGAAGCAATTACGTTTATGCAATTCTAATATGTAAACTTCATCACATTAATCATTCCCCTACACATACACATACATTCATGACACGGGAGTTTTTCATTCCACATTACTGTAGCAGGTACAATACAGCGGGCGCGATCACTGCAGCTCCTACAGTAACCGCAGATCCTTTTTGCCTTTGTAGCTTCCGCCTCTCTCATTTTCACTTCCTTCCATAAAGAGTTTCATCTCCATTCATAGCTTACCTTATCTATCACCATCCACTTCTATCCTATTTTAAATTCCTTCCTTATTCATCACACCCCCCCCCCCCCCCCCCTCCACTCCTTTCCCCCCCCCCAATTTCTCCCCCCCCCCCCCCCCCCCTTCTTTAATTCTTGCCCAGTCTATCTCTGAATCTGTCCTATTTATGGGTGTTGTTTTCTGAAAACCACAAAGTTTTTGGGGATGAGTGGAGAATTCTGAGTTCGGCCTTTGAGGTGTTCTTCCCCCGACGACGAGAAGGTTCCCCGGCTGCAACTCATCTGAGGCGGTGATCGTCTCCAAGGGTCCGAATGGTGCTCCGACTATAGCTCGACCCCGACGAGACATTTATCCTTCTGCAGCCCTCTCCGACCCCGTTTCCATCAACTGCCAACCATTTACAGGCCTCTGATCCGCTTCCCACCTCCCTGCTCCCCAAAACCTGTTGCCCACTACCAGTTTTCCTCTGTTGTCGCCCCTAAGTCCAAGTCCAACTGCTGCCATCACCCTCACAGCACCCCGTCGGTTGATGTACCCTCATTCCAGCCAGATATTGCGCACGTCTCCTCCAACCAATCCCTCGATCTGCAACCCAGCCGCCGCCCACCACCCTCATCGCCGCCACCATAGAGAGTCTGTCGTGTTTGTAAATTTGTTATTCTCCTATTATCAAAAGTCAGTGTTTGTAGTCCTTTTGAATTTTAGCACAAAAATTATCATTTTCTATTATGATTTGAGCTTTTTCTCCATATCAATTCATATGCCTTTATGTGGGTATACATAAGCATACATGTTTCCATATATTGAATTATGCCTATGAATTAATCGCATATCAACATACGTGCATATATAGGAATACATACGCAAGTTTCTGTTGGTTATCAATTGCTAAACGTTGCTAATAATACAGCATGCATTGCCAAGAATAATATAGTCAAAATGTAAAAATAGTTGTGCTCATTGTACATAAAAAAATTATCACAAGACAATCCTGATAGCCTTAATTTTAAAAATATTACTACTAGTGTAGTTGAAAGGCGCCCTCATTCAACAGAAAATGAAGCTTACCTTTCCCCAAGACAGAACAAGCTGCTACCTTTGACCATGCCACCATCTAAGGAGATAGCACCATCACTTATGAATGGCAGAGCATTCATCATGTCACTTCTGGTATTGAACACTTGCAAGCGAGTAAATAAACTAAAAAACAACGTCTCTCTTAGCCCGCAACCATCAACTGTCACAAAAGATGAGAGTTCCGGATCCAAAAAGATCATGTTTACAGCAAATCCCAAAAAGCCCCGTGGAAATTTTCCATTAGGTAGCTTTGGATTCATTAGTGCAAGCCTTCTTTGTGGATCATTAGGAAGAATTTCACCACTAAATGGTCTGGCAAAAAATTAGGATGATGTCATGCTAATGAGGTAATATGAGAAATGTACTAATAGATTAAAACAAAATAACACTCCTAATTAAGAATAAAGTAAGCTGAAAAATAATCATGATGAATGGGTGATCGATGCATATCTAATATTACCTCATATTCTGAAGGCAGTAAACATGAAATCTACCACTTAATGTCCTTCCAATAGTTGGTGCAATCCCATGAAAACCAGCATTCCTGTCAACTGTGCCATCTTCTTCATAACTTTCAAGGGCTTCAACACCATCAACTGTTTTGCAAACTATAGCCAACAAGGTATCCAGTCCTAAGTACTCGGATAATATTCTGAAAAAATATATATGCCAATGTAAGTTTTGGGAGAACAAAAATAGTTATTCCTCTTCAAAATCAGTCATAACTCCCCATAATAAAAGAAAAAAATAGAAATTATGACAAAGCAACAATACTAAATTCTAAAACTAGAATAAACTAACATAAATGATAATAAAAATAAAATCTTTCTAAAAGTTGGAGCATAGATATCTATCATGCCCAACTTACAGGAAGCTCAAAACCATACTTGAAAACTCATTTAGTGAAGATATTTGTTATTTGTTGAGCGGAAGGAAAAAACCATATGCAAATAGCTCCACAATCAGTCCTATTTTTTTATGAAGATATATGCTTTGTGCTGGCGTTGCATTGGATTTTTTTGCAATACTTAGGGGAGTTTTATTGTCAAATTAAATCTTCAATGGCATGCTTATAGGGATCCACAACTCTTCAAGAATTCTTTTCACCATAACATTTCACATACTCCATTAGCCCTAATAGCCCTATATTATGCCTCAACATTACTCCTTGCAACCACATTATTTTTCTTACTTCGTCATGTAACCAAGTTTACCCACACATAGTGCAGTATCTAGAAGTTGTTCCCCTGTCAAAAACTGAGCCAGCTCAAACTGCATCAGTGTATCCTTCTATGCTCTTTTGTATGGTCTTATGAAAGAGAAATACCCTTACTTTGTGTACCTTTTAGATATATGAGAATTTTGTTGACTGTTGCAAGGTGTTTCTCATAAGGTGAATGCACAAATTAACTTACCAAACACAGCAAAGGCGATATATAGTCGTGTAAGCGATAAGTATATTAACTTACCCACCAACTTTTGATACCAAATCATATTTACCGATTCACCAACTTTGCCATCTCCTAGTTTCTGATTGGGATCAATTGGAGCGTCTAGAGGCCTACACCCACTGATCTCAGTTTTCTTTAAAAGATCAAGAATATACTTACTTTAGGAAACAACAATCACTTTTTTTTTATTGAGTGACCTCCATGCCAAGGAAATTCCATAGATCTTAAATCCTTGGTTTCAAAAACAAAGGATGGAAAAGTCATCAAATGGTTCATTTCATATGCATTATTTTTCGTGAGAATAATATTATCAACATACATGATCTGTATGATTATCTTCTCATACTTTGAATGTCCGAAGAGCATTGAATGGTCTCTCTGTCCTTGAGTATACCCTTGACTTTCACAAATAATGTAACTTTCTCAAACCACGCTTTCGGCGACTGCTTTAAATCGTAAAAATATTTTTTTTTAGTTTGCACATCTTTATGTCGAACTTCTCATTAAATCCCAGAGGTGTATCCATATACACTTCTTCCTTCAAATCCCCATCGAGGAAGACATTCTTTATATCCAACTGTTTTTAAGGGTCAGTCAAGGTTAGTTGCAAGTGACAGAAAAACCTTTACAGAGCTTAGTTTTGCAATTTGCTCAAATATCTATAACTAATCAATGTCATAGATATGAGTGAATCCCTTGGCAACTAGTCAAGTTTTGTACCATTCCAGCAAGCCATTAAAATTATATTTGATTGTAAACATCTATTTGTACCTAATAATTGTCTTTCTTCTAGGTAGATCGACCAATTCTCACGTTTCATTTTTTTCAAGAGCTTTCATCTACTCGAAAACAACCTCCTTCCACTTAGAGACTTACAGAGCACCATGCAGGGTAATAGTAATCTCCACACAAGACAATTGTGAGGTAAAAACATAAAAAGTGAATGAGATTTTCATACAACACATAATGGGACAATAAATGTTGAGTGCAAGACATTTCCACTTTACAAGCACCAATGAAAAGGCTAGACTCATTAATCAAGATTCAAACTAGGCTCAGGTTCATGACTAAAAGACTCAAAACTCAAAGAATAAATGAATTGAACATGAGCTAGAGGATCAGTAAGGGCATTACTTGGATTAATAGACATTTTCTTTTGAGTTATCCTCAGCCGCGAGTATACAATATCAAAAGCTACCACTATCGTAATTCTTTTTCTTGTTTCTTCTTTGTTATGAAGATTGTGAGATGACATATGAAATACCTAAATCATCTTTAAAATCTAATAAATTCGACGTATTTTCTCTTGATATAATATTGCTTGGATTTTCAGTTTGAACAATCAAGGCTGAGGAGATTTTATTTTGGGTGTCTTCAATTTGAAGAAGATACTGAAACTCAGTAGTTGAACATTTATTTTTTCCCCCTTGAAGATGATGTAAAAAAAAGTTGTAATTCAAAAAAAGATGTTGTCCATGGTAACAAATCTTTTTTTTTAGAATTAGGATCAAATATTTCTACCCTTTTAGTTAGAAGCATAACAAACAAAAACATATTTTTTTGCTCAGAGTTCAAAATTTCCTTGATTATGAATGTAAATGAAAGCACTACACCTAAACATGTTTGGAGGTAAAGAAGATGACAGCCAATTCTTTGGGAATTTTTTTTCTTAATATCAGAAAGTGTTTCAAAATTTAAAAGCTCATTAGGCGTTCTATTTATGAGAAATGTAGTAATAGGAATGACTTCCTCCTAAAGATATTTAAGCATATGATTGATAAATAACAATGCTCTAGCTACCTCGAATAAGTGTTTTTTTTTTTTCATTTCAACCGCGTTATATTGTTGTAGAGCGTTAAGACAAAAGCTATGATGAATTATTCATATTTCAAGAAAAAATTGACCAACAATATTTTTGAAATATTTCGGTCATTGTGACTGTAAAATTTGAATGATTTTTTTTTAAATTGTGTGAATCATGGTGTAAAAATTTTTGAAATTTATTTCCACTTCAAATTTTTTTCTTATTAAATAAACCAAATTGACTATTCCATGATGACAAAATTTACAGTGGTGTTGCAGCGGTTCGTGAGTTGGATTTGCCTCAAATAAATCGATGCAAAAAATTTACTTAAAAACATCAAACAAAGCCGACACAAAGTAGATGAAAAATCCGACGCAAGAGACCTAAAATACCCATCCTGTGCACTCGATTTCATTTTCTTCTTCGCTCAGCCCTGAAACCCTCACATCTCTCCTCCCTCCCGTCACATTGAAACCCTCTCCCGATGCCTCGTCATCTCCAATCGTCGATCGTCAGTCGTCGATACCTAGTCGTTGTCGCCTCCCTCGCCATCGTCGATCGCCCTCTCCCTAGTTGATAGCGTCGCCACACTCTCTCGATTCAGTGGCCAATCGAGGAGGGTAATGTTACTTGCCCATTTTCTTTTCCTTTTAAAGTTTTGGTATATATGTAAGATTTGAAGTTTAGGTGTTAGGTATGTATATATATAAGATTTAAGTGGCATGTGTGCAAATAACCTTATGCATTAAAGTTTGTGTTAGTTATATATATACAAAAGTATTGAGTCGTATGTATGAGAATCTAGATGGGAATGTTATTAGTAGAATTCAAGTTGGTTGGTTGAAGTAGTGGAGTATTGCAACGGGTCTATTGTTCAAAGAAACAATGATATAGATATAGATCGGGATGTTAATTGTAGAATTAATGTTGGTTTGTTGAAGTGAAGGAATCAAAGTGATGATGATATAAATGGTGATGTTATTTGTAGAATTCACGTTGACTGTTGGAAGTGGAGGAATGTGTCAAGTCTATTGTTAAAAGTGATGGCGATATAGACGGGGATGTTGTAATTTGTAGAATTCACATTGGTTGTTTGAAGTGATATAGATGAGATCTTATTAGTAGAATTCAAGTTGGTTGATTTAAGTGGAGGAATGCATCGAGTCTATTGTGTGATAGAAAAGTACCCCTTATACTACAAGGAAAATTTTATACGGCGGTGTTGAGACCTGCAATGCTCTATTAGTGTAGAATGTTGGCCTTTAAAAAGGAATCATAAGAAAAATTTAATTGTTGCTGAGATGAGAATGCTTATGCGTGATAGGGTTGTCGTAGATCGAGTGGCGGACAAAGTTAGATAGATGTTTTATACATGATCACATTAATTGTCAACCACTGATGAGCCTTAAGAGATCCCAAAATCTGCTTGACCAAGTAATATTGACTTCAAATATTGATCAATATTGACTAATTTTTATTTTCTTTAATAGTTGCACTGATTTGTAAAATTACATCTATACTGCAGATGGATATTCGTAATTTGAGATTGGATGCATAATAGATTATATTCAGAATGGAAATGACTCACTAATGAGTTCTTGAATGATGTTGAGGAATTTGTGCGGGTGGCATCACAACTACTCATTTATCGTTCAGAGAATAAGTTCTGGTGCCCTTGTGCAAAGCATAGAAATTAAGTGTATCTGTAGCCCGAAGAAGTTAAGATAGATCTTTACCGCAAGGGATTCAAACCAAATTATTAGCACTAAATTGCACATGACAAGCAAGAAACAAAAGTTTAGTATGATCAAGGAGGTGCCTCATCAAGTTATGGCTACTCAGCAGAGGAATATGATTTTGGCACATACGAAGAAATGATTCATGATGCTCACAAAGCTCATTTTGTTGAGGGTGTTCCACACAAAAGCGAAACACCAAACAACGAATTGTAACAGTTTTATGACTTATTGAACACTAGACAATGACCTTTATTAGATGGTTGCATTACAGATAAGAAATTATCAGTGACGATAAAAATGTTGAGCATCAAATCTAATTATATGCCCAGAGAAAGCATTCAATCAAGTAGCAACATTATTGATAGAGACGAACCCTATATAGAATTAAGTGTTAGATGGCAAGTACAGAACAAAAAAAATTTGTTTCAAAGTTAGGGTTTAAATATGAGCAGATTGATAATTATGCTAATAGTTGCATGATAAATTACAAGGTCGATTCAATCGAAATGACTTTCCGATTTTGTGGTATTGATTGATTCAAATAAAAGAGATGAAAGAATAAATATTAGAAAAATATTTCATACAAGCATCTCTTTTATTTTCTGCTCATACCCTGACTTCAGAGGTTGTTCGCTTTTATGCGTACAGCTCCTCACAT